CATAAAGAAAACACTATAAATTCAATTTGATTATGTTTTTATGGGTTTTTTTCAGACAATTGGTCACCTATTACAATTCCTACTACAAGTTCTATAACTAAAAGTATATTAGTTGAAAGTATGACTGTAATTGCCACTCCATCACACATATACTAAACTATCGTGTGTTTTTTCTCTCTTTCTTTCCAGATCTAAAGTCTGTGAGGGACAACCGTAGTCTCTTTGGTGGTGTCGTTGGTGGTTGCGATAGCGTCGGGTATTACCTTCCGTTTTAGGAAGAATATACGAGATGTTATTAATAAAACTTGTGACTTGACATATGACCCAGTCGTAAGTGTGTTGAGTTTGTTTTTTCTTGAATGATATTTAAACTAAAATCGTTTTCCTTGAAAGTTAACTGACATATAACTACAACCTTTTTGTGTGGAAGTTTATTACCATTATTCGATGTTGTCATGTGAATCCATAGTAATCAGATTAGTTCGTTTGTCACAATTCCATGAATACAACCCATGATTATATCGCTTGAAGTTGTTGTGAGAAAATTGTAATCCGTAACATATTCGAGAAAAATAAATCCTGACACGAATGATTGATCAGATTTAAATCCTTTCTTATTGGTGCAATTGGAATCACGTGCCTTTGATGTTGAATCGATACTATGGTCCTTGAGAAATGAGTTGTCAATCTGTGCTCTTTGTTCTGTATGGGTTGGAATGTTAATATAATTTTATGAGATATTATTGTGTTGTCTTATCATCTATTGGTGTTGTTTTTTTAATCATAGCCGAAATTATTTTTGCTTAGACTTCATTCTGGTCTACATAGAACGAAGAGCGCAGATTTTCTGTTAACACATGTGTAGTATCAACATTGACAGGTGAAGATGGAAACTGTTTCACAAAAATAAATCAGGTGCAAATAATCAAGAGAGTACGATAATGCTATCTTAAAATTGAAGTATATAATAAAATTAGACAATCTTTATCTCTTTATTAATTGTATCTGTTTTATTTTATTGTGAATTGAGGGTCTTGGGTAATGGTGATATCTATCTATACTATGAACATAGCAACACACAAAAACAAAAACAAAAAAAAAAACACAAAACGAACAAATACTTATAATTAATTGTTTATTGAGAAATGATTAAAATATTGATTCACATTAGAATGTCGGATCATATTGGAATACTGACTGTCTACAATAATGGAACATTGGCTGATTACTATGAGATTACACTGATGTAAACACATTCCAGCAAGAAGTCTTCTCTATCTGAAATGAAATAGTAAAAATATAGACGACTAATAATGATATATTTACAACGGTCATACATTACAACCAACGGGGAAGATAATCTGTTATCTTGACACATGGTTATTGAGGATAAACTTATCTGATTCACCCCAGAAAACTGATATATAATGTGATATTCTAAGATAAAATAATATCAAATAAAACCTTACACAACTTTGCATTTGCATAAAGAACATTTGTGACATTAACTGCTATACACTCAAGTACATTATCCTTAAACATTTGAGTAATATTTTATCATTACTCACCTAAGAAGACAGAGATTGTGTCAGGGCTTCCGGCATTTCCTCTCCGTCCTCTTCCTCCTCCTCATTAATTCCATCTTCCATGCAGGAAAAAAATTCAAGTCTGTTGAAGGTGCGATTATTTCTTGATTGGCCCTGTCCCTTGAATACCAGATGTGTTGAAAACGTTAGGGCCTGTGTGTATTGGTTGTTAAGTAGAATATCAAAACGACGAGCGTCATTCTTCTGCATGATTGGAGTTAAAACCACCTTCCACAATGACTCGTTGCGGACGTCCACTGCCTTGTAGGAGTCTATCTTCATTATAAGACATGGTGGCAGCTCGCTGACTCGACATCGTGTTGTATCTTCTTTGATTAGTATACCATTTTCATCAGCTTTTTTCATGAGTTCATCTAATGGTAAAGTTGTCACCATATGTTTGAAGACTTTGTCGGTACTGGTAGAATCTTCTGAAGCAGCACGTTTAGACATTCTCCTGGTATATTGGAAAACAGTTGAGGCAAATGATGGCTGGGGAGCAAGTGTAAGTGCAGCTAAAACTTGAAGCTCTTGTATATCTCTATATATATATGTATAGATCTGTTTTGGTGGTGTGTGTGTGTGTGTGTGTGTGGGTGTGTGTGTGTGTAATATTTGACTCCCCCCAAAATTTAAATGTCATCTGGGAGTGGAGACAGAATGTGGGCGACGGTGAACCCAAAATAGAAAGTTATTACGTACATCTATGATGTTATTAGGTGCATTACCAAAAACAGAAAAGTCATAAGGTACATCGACGATGTTATCGGGTGCACGAGGTGTGGGCGACGATGAATCCCCAAAATAGAAAGTCATTACGTACATCTATGATGTTATTAGGTGCATTAACCCCCCCCCCCCCCCCCAAATAAAAAATAAAAATAGAAAGTCGTTGGGTACATCGATGATGCTATTAGGTGCATTATATGATGTCAGATGGGAGTGGAGACAGCGTGTGGGCGACAATGAACTCAAATTAGATGGATGTTGTTGACACAGGTGTGTGAGGTATTCATTTCCAAAGGTCGAAGGACGTCAGAGACTCACATCTGGTGTAGATTAGGGTCAGGAAGTGCGCTATGACGTCAGAAAGCCTATTTAAGGATGATGTTTTTTAGGTAAGAGCCTCCATCGAGGTTCCGAAGCTCTTAAATTTATACTACTATTATCACTTCTTCATGACATATAATATGCATTGCTGATTATGAAAAAACAAATAAACAAAATTATAAGCGTATAATCGCAAATCAAAAGTGCAATATTTTGTACTTGGGTTTACCTCCCTCGAAACGAAGCAGCCGGGATACCGAACCCAGTCAGAGCGGGTGGGTGTGCACTCAAGTGTAACGGCTGGTTCATTAGCAGATGCCGCCTTCACGGCTCATTGTGTGTGTATATATATAGAGATGTTGGGTTTTGTAAATACATGCTCATTTTTTGTGTGTAACATTTTGCAATCAACAGACATCATAACATGTCATGTGTTCAAGTATCACACCTGCCTGTCTGTGTAATTACATAATGTAACAGAGACCGAACTCGGGCCATAAATCAATGCATTTTGTTTATGGTGTATAGCCTGATTGTTGTTAAGTTCAAATTGCATGTGGTCAGTGATCGCAGTTGTGTATTGAATATTGTCATTAGCAGACAGGCAGGCAGACACACAGGTGTCAATAAAACAAGACATTGAGCTTTGTCTGTGACAACGACATATCTATATCACAGTAAGAAATTGTGTCAACGCTAAATAATGACATTGCTTTTAAGTATCGAACTGAGAAAGGGACTCGGTAAGAAGAACGCGTGGTGAAATAGACAAATGAAATTATATAAACAGTTTATTTACTGTCATAACATATAAAAAGCTCGCACCTGTGAGAGATATCAACAAAACATTATGAAAATAGCTCACACCAAAGCCTTCACCGAGTATTCACCAGACAGCCCGCTTCCAAGTTGCGCGAACCTATTTCACTGCGCACGTGCTATGAGCGCAGCCCAGCTATTGAAACCCGTATTCCCCAGAAAAGTCTGGGGAAAATTAGTGAAACGTTTGAACTCCGATTTCGCGCGGTTTTTTTCATCGCGTTATTTTTCAACTTTATAAGTTGAATTTGCATTTTTTACGCTTTGTTTCGGTAAGTCAATACCGAAAGGTATCAGAATCTGCAAAGTTGTGTTTTACGTTGCATGTGACCTTTAATGATTTGCGGCAAATGCAAGAGCAGCATTACAATGAATTTTCTCTCAAAATACATGTATTGCGAAATGATTTCAGTTTGTAAATTTTTTTATCATAAATCTCACACAGGTCAAGTGAAGTCGGCGATAACCTTCTTTTGATCGGTAGTTTATAAACAACATCTTTTTAAAACGGAAATACACACCAACAAGAGAAATGGCATGCATACTACTACTAATAATATTGCGAAATATAGTGCTAAACACTATAAATTTTTAGTGAAATATATTACATCACAGCGCAACAGGAGAAAACAAAGCACCAGTTATACAGTAAAGACGTCATTTTCTCTTCTCAGAAGATTCCACGTTCTCGCTTAAGAATGTACAATTACAGGTATTGTCATAACAAATTTGAAAATGCTGCGTTTACACTTGGCCACGATGGCCACGATTCGAATTTGTTTTAAAAATAAGAACTCATCTTATAAATTTAAGAGATCGCAGATCCAAATCGTGGTGTTCGCAAGAGATCTCCATGATCAAAAGGGTGGCAAAATATTAAACATGTTTATTATTGTATCATGATCATGCCGATTTTTAAATTATCGTACTGCGTTGTAGTGTGTGGGCATCGGAACAAACCGTACAAGAGTGTACCTCGAAGATCCAACGTCCATAGAAACAGTAACATAGAAGTAAGACTTTAACACTGATATTGTTTGTTGTTTGTGTCTCATAGTAACGTTTGACTTCGAGTATATTTTGTCCACACTAATTATGTACCCATGACAATACCTTTCATTGAGACGCGTAGAAGTACGGAGGGCATATAAACAAATGAGTGAGAATGTTAATCAAATAAGTGCTATAGTGACGCTTACCTTGTATTGACGTCTGCCTCCCTGGAACGCAGTTCACTATTTAAGTCATGCGCATGTACACTACAAAATCAATAGTGTCACCATGTTCCCGTGACAAGGAAGGTGGAGTGTCCGAAGTTTGATATCGGGTCCAACGGTTGGCCTTTGAAGACATGCTGAAATTCGACGAGGTGAATTAGGCAACGTAAACAATTATCGCTTGAATAACTATATTCACGGTGCCTGGAGATGTCCAAATAGATACGATCAGACGTTGAACGAACAATGGTAATTAGATTTCTAGCACTTGCACCCCTACTACATTGCAAATGATAGACTGTCCCGTACTATATAACACGTGATTCTATTTTTGCACTTCATATCGCCACAGCTCCTGCACTGATACACAGAGCACTAAGGTAACATTTCCCCTATTAGTTTTAGTAGTATTTGTGCTTGTTGCAAGGATATAAGACGCATTACTTACAGCCTTATGACATGATTAAGTCTGATAACTAATATGCAAACGTGACTGCGTTTCCTGTCTGTTTCGATGAATCATTCAAGTGACTGACCCGTCGGTACCAGTTGTTGTTAATGTGAAGTAACAATATAGTACGAGATCATATAATTTAGCTCCTGACAAAGCACGGGAAATCGCCGTGTTTCAGAGCTAACATGGACGCATTTCACAGAGGGTTGTTCTTGGGAGCTGGTGTGGGTGGGAGAATGTTTGCTCAGATTATGTCACCAGCTTTCCTATCTATCACAGTGAAATTACGAAAACCGGAGCTTATTAGCTTATTGGTCCTGACGGAAGCTAGTTAATGTATTATCATTTACACGCACTCTATTCCGGCGTCAGTCTATTCCCTATTTCGGCACAATAAAGACTGCCAAATTGACAGTTCGTACAGTAATTAACGCTCACTAAACCGACATCCGCTATCTGGGCTCTCCTGTTGATTGGCTGAACGTGTATTAACAACACAGTGGATCACAGTTAAGTACGGTGGTCTATGGTTAAGCATAAGTTGGTGAGGTACAATTGTGAGTGGCACGTGTCACTTGTATTATAAATTAAAAGATAAAACCACTTGTGATAGGCAAAGCGCAGAAACTGCGTTGTCTCAACCACAGATCAATGATGTTTTATTCAGGCAACTACATGTTTTACAACTGGGCCACTCTGCCGCCCAGCCGGACAACCTCATGAGCCCTTATGTATTGATGCGCTAAGGAGGCGCACATAAAATATAGTAACTGTTATTCACTGCCATGATTTTACATGTAGATAACATCCCTTCTTTTAAGTGAGTGAGAACACTATAATCTATATCGGTATTAAAATCAATAAATGTAGAACGTAAAAACCTACCACAGCTCTTAATTTAAAACTAGGACGATATCATATAAAGATATCACTATAGACAACAGTACAATATAAACAAGGGCAATAGATTACCGGCAACTGAAGGCGACCTTCTACTAGGGTTTGTTAGACTCAGTATAAGCAGTGTAACGAATAATACTGAGCCTAAGTTTACTTAGACTGTCGTTTAACTCATTAAGGCCCGATAGCCACCTCACTAATCAACACCTGGAACCCTTTGCTGATTGCCCACTCGCTGTGCCGAGGTCAAAAAGTGCTAATCACTCCTGATTTCCCTGGCAGGTTTCGGGGATGACAGGAAACTGTCTAGTCGTACTAACAAGTCCTGATTGTTAAATTGTGTCGAAATAATATATGTTGGAAGAAAGCAGGTGTGAATACATATCGTGTATTGCAAAGTTTTATGTAACATGTGTTATATTTGGGATTACACTTTCTTAGTAAAGTACAAATTCTAGTACTTTTTTGAGTTGAGCCCATCCGGGATTCGAACTCACACCCTCAGAGTCGGGCACCCAATCGCCAGCACACAAAGTCAGCCGCCTAACCTACTCAGCATTACAGGGTTAGCTCATTGTGGAAGTCGCGGTAGCTGAGTGGGTTAGGCGGCTGACTTTGTGTGCTGGCGATTGGGTGCCTGACTCTGAGGGTGTGAGTTCGAATCCCGGATGGGGCTCAACTCAAAAAAGTACTAGAATTTGTACTTTACTAAGAAAGTGTAATCCCAAATATAACACACGTTACATTTGACCACTTTCTAAATGGCATTGTGTAATCAAAGTTGTATGTAATTTTATTGCAAGCTTCTCTTGTAGACCTTTGGCGGCTTGTACATATATATTTTATCACCATTTGCATGTATTCTTTGTATGTACGAGATCAGACACACATAAACAAATTCTTTCTCTCATATCAGTGTGTGAGGTTTAATTTTACAAAACATCTATAACAATGACATACTGTAAAGAAGAATTTACTTACATACTTTATCATCTCCGACGAAATTAGCGTTTTTGCCGATACATTTCTAGTGTATACGAAATATTTTAATGAAAGTACTATTACGCTAGTCTGTGACTAACATAGAGCACATTCTTAGCTTGGCACTTTGTTTCATCTAGATTTACCGCAGAAAACATACGTGACCATACAAATATACATATAAGGAATGTATACTACATATTCCTTGCATAGAAATAACAATAAGAGTCACGTGATAGGGCGTCATCACATTTCCTGAATATTACGTTCGGTATCTCAACTGTTCAATATAGTGGCTGGTCATATGTTATCTGTGACCAATCGTATCATGAGATACCTGTCACAGAGGAAAGGACAGGTGATGGAGCGTGGGCGAAATTTCTGAAGAGCACGTTTGGTCACTCAACAGCTTGGATAGAGGTTGATTATTGGCTATATCGTTGACCAGTCGATATGCTGGGTTTCGGCTTTATCAACTCAGCTATCATGTAACAGTTTGTGTATTGTAAACACACACACTGGTAACAATGTATGAAATATACACTTAAGACAAATAGGAGTAGATAAACACTTCGTATTACATCACAGAGAGGGACGTGACTCCTTAAAGCAAGATGTCCAATGATATAACAGCGCATCTGTTTATTTTACACTTGTCACGGGACAAACCTTTCAACAAGGACGTAACTACATATGCATTCTACCGGAGGCTGTTATTTCAAGGTCGAAAGAGGCTTTCAATAATCTCATTACTGTAATCTGATTGAATGATTATACGCATGTCTGTCGATACCGTAGCTGATATACTATCCAGCTTTTATTGAAGATGGATCAATAGAGACTGAGTTCATTGATACACGTGATAATTACACCGGATTTGAATATTACAGAGATCAAATACAAATGTGTTACACAATGCTCATGTAAACTGCATAGAAAACTTACAATTCAAATCAACACGAAACTTTCAACAGCTTGAACAAAAATGCTTGAAATACCTTTGAATGGTTTATATGTAATAATTTATGATATTACTGCTGTCTATGTGTGAGAATATTTTAATTACCAACTTGCTGTGTTTTGTAAACAACGTAGTAAAAGATTTCATTGTTGTAATAACACTGACATGTATATATATTCGATGCAAATGCGCGACTTATCACTTTATGTTCGATAAGGTAACATTATCAACTTTAGATTATGGAAAATTACTAGTCACAATTCAGTAAGCTTTAAATTAGTAAGTTAAATTATGTTTAATATATTCGAGCTTGGATGTATAATTATTTGGGTTTATACATTATGTTTCATTTTATGAAACATGACAACGTAATAAAACCTAAAATATAAATTCTAACTATTCCATTGTGCTTGAATTCTTTGTATGTCCTTGAAATTTCGTATATCGTTTCCTATTTATAAGGAAGTTTAAGAAAATATAATCTTCAGTAACCTCTAAACCATTACATCTAATTCAATCAATGTGCATACGAAGCATTTTAGTATGAAGAATACCAGACACTTACCTCTGTAAAAACATCATAATCCCCTTTCTCGCCGACATGTGTTCATTTGCCAAACGCTGTACAAGCCTATGATAATGATTAGCAATTGCTATCAAAACGCTTTAAGTACTTCTTCTGATTGACACTAAAGGTAGCATCTCTCGCACGAAAAGCTCAATACTTACTAAATTGGTTGAAATAATAGGTACAGTGCGATTTTTAAAAGTACAACACACATGTGTGTCTCTCGCTGAATAAGAGGTGCTTTCTGTTGATGAATATATGTGGCTGTCGCTGTGAGAAACTGCCAATTACCTGCCCCATAAACACGTCACTCGTTATGAGGAGCTGATTAATTTGCCCCATATGTGCGGCCCTCCCCCTTAATGAGTTAATATGATGTTATTTATTCATACCCCCTTTTTTGCATCAGATCACGGATATGGGATCTAATTACAGTTTTGTAATCAGAGTGAGTCAGTGAGTTAATATTTAACGTCACATTAGCAATATTTCAGCCATATCCTGACGAGAACAAATTTGATTATTAAGAATATGTATATATTATAAATCCCCCGTCAAAGGACAGAAAAAAAACTACACTATCACAGTTAAAAAAGGAAACTTAACATGTTAATTTGGAGTTTATTTACTGAGTGCTGATTCAAACATAAGCATCCATAACAGCTTGGCAGCGGAGGACCATAGAAAAAGGGAGATGCCGAATGCTGTCTTGTTGAATGATTTGATACTCTTACTGAAGTGCTGCGTGCACTTCTTGTAGTGTCTGAGGTGGCGGATTACGCTGGCGCAAGCTTCGATCAAGATTATCCCATAGATGTTCAATGGGGTAAAATCAGGTGATCGAGAAGGCCATGGTAACACCTGAACGCTGTTTTGCTGGAGGAAGTCCTGGCAAAGATGTGCAACGTGCACGTGAGGTACAGCATTGTTGATGAAGGGAACTACGTGATGAAGCAAAATCTCGTCTCTATAGCCAACCCCATTCAATGCACCTGCCACGTCCACACCATCAGACTTCCACCACTAAATCTATCGACCTGTTGAACACAGTTATCGGTGTTACGTTCGTCCCGAACGAAGCGGAATAAGAGACGACGTCTTTATGTACAGAGTTCTGAAAAACACGCTTGAATGTAGTTTTTGATATAGTAGTTTTTCTATTGAAAGGACAATTTCACGCGGAGTTGGTTAAGAAATTCCTCATCAGCCTCGACGTAGAGACTGTCACTGTCAACAGGACAAGTACTGAAAGACCCAAGTCTTAGACCTTGATGGTGGACAGAATCTAATAGTTTTAGATTGCTGTTACAGGTTCCACCATATCCGATGGAGACTAATCAAGTTTCGAGTGGATGAGATATTTGTATAAGTGTAGCAGGGCAGATTGGTCCCCTCTCCACTGAATTAGAAATAACTTTCAAACAAGTCAGGTGCCCTCAGTCATTTATGTTTTAGGTATATTCAATATGTGGTAAGAACGTCAAATGAGAGTCAAAGATAAGTCCCAAGAACTTGGCTATCACTTAAGAATAGTTCAGGGTACTTATGCTGCTTACATTTTCTACAGAAATGTTCACAATTTGTTTTTTAATTTAGAATTTTTATAACCGTTTTCACCTGACTATTTGTGAACTTTATTGAGACATATTTGTAACTGCCTCTCGATTGAACGCATATTTTACCATGACAAGAAACATTAAAATCATCCACAAAATGTGATCCGTCTAATGAAATCAGTTAAAACCTTATAATGTTACGGCCTTGTGGAACACCCTGCTCCTGACTGTAATGATGTTAAAAGGTTAGACCCCACTCGGACTTGAAATTGCAAAAACATAATGTTGAAAGTGATCAGTTCATGGTGTCTTATATAATGACAAATCAGCCTTGGTGAAGTTCCTTCTTGATAAAGGTGAATCATCACACCATGGTTTGTCGTTTTAAGAATGGTTGGGAAGTGATCATTCCCAAAAAGGTCATCATGAACCATCCAGTCAAATTCATCATACAAGATGGAATCAGCGAGTGACAGACGCAGGGAAGAATATTCTACCGAAGCTGGATGTAAATAGTTGGTTGAACCGTCTTTAAATATGCATAGGTTATTATCTGAAATGAATTCCTCAAGGATTTTACCATTTTATAAGTATCGGCACTCCCCCCAAAAGTGTTGTGTCCGTTCAGATTGCCCACAATGAAACATGGCTTCTGAAGTTGATCATACATATTTTGATACTGCGACTGTCGAAGATTAAAAGAAGGAGGGATATACAATCTGCTCAGTGTTAATGCACTGTGCAGGGTCAACCGAATAGATACAGTCTGATGACTGGTACTAAGTTAGAGCAACAGGAGCCCCCTGTTGCTCTATCTCCCGAGGGAGAATAGGAGTGATAATCACTGTACCTCAAAGCAAAGGTATCTGTATCTTTGAGATATGTCTTTTGAAAACATAATGCTGACAGTTGGAAATCTTGAAATAGTAATTGTATCTTTTTAAATATATTTGTAGTCCACTGCAATTCTATTGTATTACAGTGGACAGTTGAGACATGGTGGTTCATGTGAATGCGATGAGGATAAGCTTCTCCTCCATATCTAGATGTCCAAATAAGTTTTCTGTTGGAACCACAGAAGGAGGTGGGACAGTAGGTGGTTTGTCTCTAGTTGTTTTTCCTCTCCTCTTTTCTGATTGATCACTGGCATGTTTTGATGTAGATGGTTGTGATGGTTTATCTTCTGTCTAGGATTGATGAAGTTGGTCGAGTAGATTGAATGGCTGATGTTATAGGTTTTTCTGACTTAACTCAACTCAAGTCAAGTCAGTCTGACATTGCTACAGTGCCGGTGACTGCCGAGGAATACGTAATATTTAGAGGAGCTGAGAACTGACTTGTGTAGAGCTTTTTCGCATCAAGCTAAGAAATGTTCTTTTCACGTTTTTTCTCTTGTTGATACACAGGATAGGACCTGGATGAAAAGGAATGTGGGCCGTCACATTTGCCCATTTGTAGTCTTTCACAGTTTGTAAGCTCGTTGTGGTCCCTCAGCAATGCCATATCGCAGAAATTTGACATGAGTGAGATCTGTGACCAAATGATGACATTTATAACATCAGAGTGAATTGGGGATATACACATCCACCCCGAGGTTAACATAACCTGCTTTGATCGACTGTGGAAGGGGATATGAAGCAAAAGTCAAGAGATACGTATACTCACCAGAATTGATAACGCTCAACTAACAAAAGTTGACATTACTAAAATTGATATTTTTTTAGTGGATAATAACAGATGGACGACTACCATAACAACAACACAGAAAAGACGCCCATTTATTTAAATGTTCAACAGGCAGAAAGAATCAAACACATGTAGGGGCAAATCGAAAAGTCAATATCGCGTGTGACCGCCATTTGCATTCACACCTGCAGGGCAACATCTCCTCATTGAGTCAATAAGCGCCCGAATAGTGTTCTGTGTGATGGAATTCCACTTCCAGCAGATGTGCAGCCTGAAGTTCCCGGACGTTTCTCATCTGTTGTCGCCGCGGAAGACGTCCCACAAGTGCTCAATAGTCGATAAGTCTGGCGACAGTGGTGACCAATGAATTACTGGGATGTATTGTTGGGCCTGACACTGCATGGAAAGTGTAGCTGTGTGTGCCCGTGCGTTGTCCTTTTCAAAAGTGTGGACATCTTGGTGGTGATTGAAGACTGGTACGATGTGATTCTGATGAATGTGGCTAGCTATTCTCGAAACGTTCGTAGCCCTTGAAACTTCTTAAGCCAATTCGTAACACATTGGCTACGATCAAAGTTAAGAATTCTTAGGGTTACGAACGTTTCGAGAATAAGGGCCCTGGTCGCGGTTGTAAAGGGCATTAACTCCCCCCTTGACAGACATGAAGTTCAGTCCTGTGATTGTAACATCTACGTCAAACAGGTGTTCGGCCGTCATCATGACATAGGTGAAAACGTGACTCGTCAGTGAATACCACATCATGCTGTTGTAACCTCCATTGAACATGCCTGTTAGGGCATTGTATACGCTCATTCCGTTGTCCGTCAGTCAGAATTGGTCCAATGTAAGGACGTCGAGCATGGAGCACGGCGTGAAGACGGCATCGCACGGTGTCAGGGCTAATGACACCACGTCGACATTGAAGTACTTCAGCAATCCTGTCAGTCGGCAGCGTTAGATCACGGATGTGGTCACGTGTTACCCGGAATCACCACGAGGAGGTTGCCCTTCACGAGTGCCCGAATTGTTGAAAGCGCTCTTCCAACACGATTCTAGATGGGAAAGCATATGGGAAACCCTAATGGTTTTGCACTTTGTCACACTATGTAGATCTCTTTGATTTTACAAAATGCATGAAATAAGACTACAGAAATAATATTTTATTTAATAACTTAGATGCTAAAAGGATTTTTATCATTGTTGTCTTGACAGTAACTTCATTAAAGCCTGTTCTGTCTGCTTGGACAAAATCGTTTATTAGCTGGTAATGTAGCAGGGCAACCATTTAACAGTATAGCTCTTTAAACAGTACATCAAATTTCTTGTAGCAAGTGACTTAACAGCAAGATGCTGGGGGAAACAAGAACTCATGCACATTTTCCCCCACCAAATAACTCTTTCTGAAATGATTGTTACATTATGTACCTTTAGTTTCAGATCGTAGTATTTATGAATAAGATCTACAAGTATTGAAACTTTCACGCCTACAGGGAATTCCTGTGTTAGGTTTAGAATGTTGTTAGAGTAATGTCCTTTGTGGAATAGTTGACTGGAGTATTTTCCCTTGGAACATACATTTGATGTTACTCTAAAGCTATGAAAATAGACATTAAAAGAGTATTTTTTGTAAAGGTTTTGCATTGATCTTTATTACAGTTGCTGAGTAACGTCCACTGGATACAGCTTGGTGAAATTTGAGAACGCTTCACTGGACATTAATGAAATCTGGCCCAGAATGTCTTCCAGGTACGAGTTAGTACATGTTGAGATCCTGTGAGCTAATGTGAACTAGATATTTTCTTTAACTAAATGACCTCTGGCATAGAATAAGCATACTTCCCACTATTTTCATTCGAAATTCTTAGCTCACCTGACTGAAAGTTACATGAGCTTCTGCCTTGGCTATCTCCTTATTGTGAATCTTTGCATGTTCCACACCTTGAAGGAACTCGTGGTGAGCAGACTCCTCTTGGTGAGTGTTGGGTAACGCTAATAGCTCTTCTTCCGTGTGGCCCCGGGACAGAACGTAAAAGGAGACCTAATCGGGAAAGCTGTTTGCCATGGGTTGCGGCTCTGTGTCGAGGTTCAGGGCACTTGTTCCAGAAATAGCGTTCCTTTGTCCAATACACCTCTTCGACCCTTACTTCACCTAGATGGATGGTAGATGGATGGTAGACTGGACACGGTTCTATCCATCGGCTGGTCATGCCACACCATATGGTCATGTTCAAATATGTGTGCAGTATTGAATGACGAAATAACTTTTTTCATTATAACCTTGCCTAGAGTCCTATGGTAAAATGGAATAGCCAGTCTGGTGACGTTGACCTATAAATACAATATGTATCCAATTGCATGTCATGGGAAAGAACCAGCCTAATATTGAACTTGGTGTACAAATTTCAGTGTGAGTGAGACGAGATTTCAGTCACTATATCAGCCATATCATGATTAAACCAGGTCATACTTTTAACACATTAAGGCCGAGAGCCGCATATGTGTGCCAAATTAATCAGCTCCTCACATGTGCGAGTGACGCATATATGCGTCAGATACCTAGCAACATCTCACAGCAGGGTACGCAAGTCCCAAACACTTTCAAAGTCAATTTCGCACAACCATACGTTTTAATCGTAGCCCATCATAAGCGATCAATATTTCGATGTGAAAACAGTTAAGGATCTTTTTACCACTGTTAGTTTTCATTTAATTATTGTTTTTTTTAAAAGAAATTGATTTAATCGATGAACTTTGATGAAGAGTTTGTGTAAATAGATGTCTTTTATGATTGATAGTTTAGATTGGTAACTTAGATTGTTAGTGGCTGTACCCTCGAAAGGGGTTGAAGTATTGTAAAATTATTGTCCTCCTGAGAGAGTGCGTAAGTCCCAAAACCTTAAAAGTTAAATATAGACTTATCAGATTTTTAAAACGTAGTATTTTTGTTCTTTTAACTGTCGGATAAATGTTCCTACATTCGTCAGCGGCTGAAGGGATGGTGTAAATCCAACTAGGGTCCATGCAGGTAGCAAAAGTTGCCATGGTTCCTAGTATGGTGATCTACATTCCGTCGTTGGCGATCTATAGCCCGTGTTTTATATTTTATTGTCTTCTAGTATTTTTACTGTCCATCGTCGACAGGTTTTACTCTCAAAAATGTTTTCATGTTTTATTGCATAAATAGTGTTCGTTTCGATATGTCTGAGATATTGCCGATGTGACGTTAAATATAAACTCACTCACTCACTCTCACAGCAGGAGCCTCATATATGCGTCAATAGCAAGCACATCGTATTCAGCGAGTGACGCACATGTGGGTCCTGTCTTTCTTTATCGCAATATACCAGTTGTTTCAACTAAGTTACAAGTACTGCACAAAGATTAGTATTTTTTACGAGAGATGCTACCTTTAGTGTCGATCACAGGAAGTATTTGGAGTGTTTTGGATAACAATTACTAATCAGTATCATAGGCTTATACGGCGTTTGGTAAATGAACACATGTCGGAGAGAAAGGGGATAAATTAGAAGGTTAACCGAGACTTACCTGTAAGGTGAAGGTTGACCTTGATTCTTCCAGCCAGACTACAGTGTCGAAGGGTCACATGAGATGAGCAATGCGCATGCGCCAGTCAGACTTCAACAACGTTGCACTTGACAGTGATGACAGAGGCATAGGGCATGTGACCCATCGAAACTGTAGACTGGTTGGAAGAATCAAGGTCAACCTGCACCTTACAGGTAAGTCTCGGTTAATCTTCTAATTCTACCAACCAGTCACGTGACGAGAAGACACACGAGACTTCAAAGCAGTTACTTTCAAGTGCAACAACTATTAAAATGAATCGACAAAGAATAAAGAAATCATATGTATTACGTAGCGAAAAGCATAATAATCATTGTAAAATGAAAATGCTTTCACATAATACAGTCTGCATTATTTGTTACGTAGAACATACATAATATCTTCAATGCTTTCGCACAATACTGCCTGCATTACATTACCAATGCTAGTCTGTCATACATACCCTGAAGCAAATATATCCAAGAAAGCCCACGCAAGTCTCGAAATTGTGGCAAGTCTAGATTTCCACAGCTTCAGGGTCTGTACCAATCTGCTGAATTCACAAGCGAGCACAGGGCTTGTAATTATCAATTGATCTCTAGCTGTTACTAGTGTTTAATATTAACTCATGGGAGCCTCCCCACCACACCCCGAGACCCGACACTCAGCCAAGGCCTCCTGCTTCTGCCTGTCCTCTCACTCCAGACAAAAAAACATGTGTGATTACACTAGAGTTGAGTTGAGTTGGGCTTTACCTCACATCGGCATTATTCCAGCCATATAGTGACGAGAACAAGTCTGCATTAATATACATTGTAAGTACAAAGTGGTGTCGTTTCAAAGACACACATTCATTACATTGTCATTTTGGAACAGAGAATGTCCTAGCACTAAATTGAAAAGCAGGTAAATTCGTTAGTGACATTACACAGTTACAATTTATGATATAGATCAACTTCCCTCAGGTAGTTCAGTATCAGATGAGCGCTCACGCTGGAGAACAGATCTTTCAGATTGGTTGCGTGATAATGCGAGTCCCTTGCAGATGTAAAGTCCACACAGTCAAGCAGAATATGCTTGACTGTGAAAGCCTCATTGCAGGAGAGACATATTTTTTAGCAGATAGTCATGTGTAAATCGACTGTGGCCAATACGACATCGTCGTAAAATTACTTCATCACGTCTTGACTGGCAACCCAAGTAGGTATAACCGATTGTTGGCTTCAATTCATGGAGTTTGTTTCTTCCTACTTGAGTGTCCCACCTTTTTTTGCATCAGGTCCCGAGTATAGCTTTTGATAGTGGGTTTGAAATCACTGTACAGGATTAGTAGTGGAGATAGGGGCTTTTCAAGAGCTGCTGTTGCTGCAGCATCGGCCTTAGTGTTACCTGGTATGCCGACGTGACCCGGCAACCAGCAGAGGACGATGTCATATTGGCCAGTAGAAAGGTCGTTGTACAGTCCAGGATGATTGGGTGACTTGAAGTCACGTTTAGAAGTGCTTGAAGGCAGCATAATGAATCTGTAAAAACGATGAAGTTTTTGGAATGTTTTTGCTGTTGAATGTAGGTCAAAGCTGAGAGGATAGCTTTGGCTTCAGCGGTGAAAATGGAACTGTTTTCGGGGATCCTAGAGGAGACAGTCTTTGCTCCAATGACTGTAGCGCTGGCAACTTGGCCATCGTCCTTGGATCCGTCTGTGAAAATGGATCTGTGAGTGTTATACTTCGAACGTAACTGGTTGTATTCCTGTTGGAACACCAAGGGATTTGTTTCAGACTTTTTGAGTTTGGTGAGGGTAAGATCGACCTGTGGTTTCACCATTTCCCATGGTGGTGAGGACAGAAGTCGGTATGGTGCAATGATGTTGAGATCAATTTTAGCTGCAGATATGTGTGGTTTGATCCTGATTCCAAGTGGTGGAACCAAGCTTGGCAGTTTAGGAAATAAGTTTTCATAGAGCGGGTTGAAAACACAATTGTATGCTGGATTGGACTGATTTGAACGTAATTTAGTGATATACTGCAGTGAGAGTTTAATGCGGCGTTGTTCAAGGGAAGGTTCATTGGCCTCCGCATATAGACTGTCTACCGGAGAGGTCCTAAAAGCTCCCAAGCAGAGCCTCAGCCCTTGGTGGTGGATAGAGTCTAATGTTTCTAAATTGCTTTTGCAGGCTCCACCGTAGACAGTGGAGCCATAATCTAGTTTACTGCGAACTAATGATCTGTACAAGTGAAGGAGGGTGGTCTGATCCCTTCCCCACTCTGTAATTGAGACTACTTTTAGCAAGTCTAGAGCCTTCAAGCACTTTGTTTTCAAATATTGTATGTGTGGTAAGAATGTCAGGTGGCGGTCGAATATGAGTCCAAGGAATTTGGCCTCTTCTACTAACTTGATGGGAGTACCATCTAAAGTTAGGTCTGGATCCTTGTGTGGTTTGTATTTACGACAAAAGTGAATATAATTTGTTTTGGATTTTGAAAAACTTGAAACCATTTTCATTGGCCCATTTTTGGATTTTGTTAAGGCAGAGTTGTAGCTGCCTTGCTATTGTGTGCATGTCCTTACCACGACATGAAATATTGAAGTCATCCACGAAAAGGGACCCATCAACGCAACTGTTCAGAACGTTAGTGACGCTGCTAAAAAGTGTGACAGACAGGTGCTGCCTTGGGGGACGCCCTGATCTTGGCGGAAATAGTCAGACAGTGTGGAACCCACCCGAACTTGAAATTGTCTGTTGTTTAAAAACTGAGATATGAATTGAGGTAGTCTACCCCTCAATCCAAACTCGTGTAAATCTTTTAGGATACCATGTTTCCACGTCGATCATATGCTTTTTCTAAGTCGAAAAAGATAGATACGGTATGTTGTTTGTTGACAATGGTGTTTTTGATGAATGATTCGAGACGCACCAGATGGTCAATGGTATTTCGTTTTTTTTCGGAAACCACATTGGAGGTCACTGAGGAGGTTATTGGTCTCCAAGTACCAGATTAATCGATTGTTGACCATGCGCTCCATGGTTTTGCAAACGCAGCTAGTTAGGGATATAGGACGGTAGTTTGAGGGATCAGTATGATCGCGGCCAGGTTTTGGTATAGGGATGATAATGGCATTGTGCCACGAAGGGGGGAAGTGTCCAGATGTCCAGATGTCATCAAATATATTTAGGAGTGTTT